CAAATTTAGTCATAAATTTCTGCCAAAATGCATTCTGTGACATGTCTTTGCTAAAAAAAAAAAAAAACAATACGTGTAAATTAATTGGTTTACGTGAAAGTTATAGTGTTTACAAATGGCGGGAAAGATACTGGAATTTTTAGGTTTTTTTTATACTAATAATGGCGCCGATCATCGACTTATGGCGGCGATCAGTGACTTATGGCGGCGATCAGTGATTTATGGCAGGACTGCGGCGGACATTCTGACATTAGGGGTTACTGACTTGGGGTCACTGACATCCCCAGTGACACCAATACAGTGATTAGTGCAAAAAAAAAAAAAAAAACACTGACACTGTACTAATGGCACTGGGGAGGAAGGGGTTAGGTTTATTATTCAGGGAAAGGGTTAACTGTGTGAGGGGAGTGTTTTACTAGGGGGCGGGGGTGTGTACTGCAGGGAACACCGCAGATCGGGAGAGAGGAACTCTTCTGTCCCGATCAGCGTGTCCTGGAGCTGTCTGGGAACTGACAGAAAGTACAGCTACTGCAGCTGTGCTCTCTGTCAGCGATTGCTGCCAATCACCGGGACATAGCCGGTAACGACCGGCTGTAACCCGGCGACTGACATCCACGGCTGTGATCGGCTGGACAGGTAGGGCAGCGGCATGCCTCACGCGCGCCCCTACCTGTTTACAAAACACACGTTTTAAAACATGCTTTTGCCCAGCCGTGCCGCCCTGCCGCCCTGCCGCCATATTTATACAGTGGCTGTGCGGCATGTGGTTAAAGACCCTGCAAGTACATAAAAATACCTGTTGATCCACCAGAAATGCATTAAACTCTACTGTCTACTTGAATGACACCACATGCTTTTTTGTGGACTGAAGAATTGGTGTCAGCCCTTCTGGCAATATAGTATATATATATAGAGAGAGAGAGATGATGGCTACTCATTAAAGCAAAGCTCCAGTCAAAATGTACAAAAATAAAAATCATCAGCTACAAAAACTGTAGCTGCTGACTTTTAAAAAACAGGCACTCACCTGTCCCTCGATCCAGCAGTGTGCTCACCACAGCCGGTTTTACCAGCCATTCTCTCTCCGGTGCGAGTAGTGTGAATGGTCCCGTAGTCTTCTGGGACCTGTCACATGTCACTGAAGACTACGGGGGGGGGGGGGGGGAGGCACAACTTCTGCTTCTGATCACGTAGGCAATTTCAGCAAAAGTGGGAGCGGGTTCCTGTCAAAATCGGGTATCCTCTCCCCAAAGATGCCGATCTTTAACGGGTAGCGAGGGAAAAGGCCTTAAAGTGGAACTTCTCCTTTGGGGTGGAGCTCTGCTTTAAGCACCATATCCCACCTTGATTTTGTATCCAGTAATGAAGTCCAAAAGCAGGTGGTGCCAGGGCAAACCAATGGCGTAATCCAGGACAGGCTGAGACCAGGGCAGGCAGCAGACAAAACATAATCCAGAGTCACAAAGAAGTCAGGGCAGGCTGCAGACCATATACTGTATGTAATCCAGAGGCAGGCCAAGGTCAGGGCAGGCAGCAGACAAAACATAATCCAGAGTCAGGAAAAAGACAGGGCAGGTGGAAGACCATAGGTGTAATCAAAAAACAAGCTGAGATCAGGGCAGGCAGCAGACAAAATGTAATCCAGAGTCAGGAAGAAGTCTAGGCAGGGGGCACATCATAGGTGTAATCCAGAGACAGGCTGAGATCCGGGCAGGCAGCAGACAAAATGTAATCCAGAGTCAGGAAGAAGGCTCGGCAGGGGCCACATCTTGGTGTAATCCAGAGACAGGTTATGATCAGGGCAGGCAATAGACAATGTGTAATCCAGAGACAGGCTGAGATCAGGGCAGGCAGCAGACAAAATGTAATCCAGAGTCAGGAAGAAGTATCGGCAGGGGGCACATCGTAGGTGTAATCCAGAGACAGGCTATGATTAGGGCAGGCAATAGACAATGCGTAATCCAGACGCAGGCTGAGATCAGGGCAGGCAATAGATGATGTGTAATCCAGAGACAGACTGAGATCAGGGCAGGCAGCAGACAAAATATAATCCAGGTTAAGGAAGAATTCAGGGCAGGTGGCAGACCATAGGTGTAATCCAGAGACAGGCCATGATCAGGGAAGGCAGAGGATGACGAGTAATCCAGAGACAGGATGAGATCAGGACAGGCAGCAGATGTGACAGACCCAACCAGGACAGGGGCTTTTGGAGGGGATTTAGGGCTAGCTTTCTACCCACTGATTATGGCCCATGGAGAAAGAAAATTATTGTCTAATGATGGACGTGATGAACTCTGAGAGCGAGGCTTGGATTGATTCTCTGAGTAAAGACAATACAGCTTTCGTTCTGGAGTGGATGGAAAAGTATAATATTACTCTTGTACAGGTTAATGGTCAGAAGAAATATATGGGCTTCTTGCAGACTGGGTTGGGGACGCTCCTCAACTTGAGACAGAAATATTTATCAACAATCTCCCAAAAGAAATCTATGAAGATAAATTGATTCCACTTTTTCAGACTGTTGGAATATTGTATATATGTATAAATGTGAGTTTTGTCTTATGATGGCTAGATTATACAAATGAAAGCAAACACCTGGAAGACAGCATGTGTATTGTACTTGGTGTATTCAGGGTTGGAGATGACGGGCTGTCTGGGGTGGACTCCCTGGCTTGTCTGGGTGCTTGGCTGTTGACTAGTTTACTGTTAATTAGACCACTGTTAGCTGTTGGCTGTACCATTTAACGTTTGCACTGTTTAGTATAAAGTAATCAAGCTCTTACCTAATCAGTGTGGGATGTTTATTCCAATGTGTAATATTTGTTTTTATTGTTCATGTGGGGACTGCCCCTATCTCTGAAGTATACAAAAACTTGTATTTCTGTTTAATAAAGAGTTCCAGTTTTTGCACCTAAGCTAGTGTCGCCTAGTCTTTGGTGCGATATCCAGCTATAAACCGTTGGTCCTGTGTCTCAGTGGTGAGGAAGCAGTTCCCTGATGGAGTCACCCAATTGGGCTGACAGGTGGTCTGTTACAGCAGACGAAACATAATCCAGGATTAGGAAGAAGTCAGGGAAAGCGGAAGACCATAGGTGTAATCCAGAGACAGGCTGCGATCAGAGCAGGCAAGTGACGATACATAATCCATAGACAGGCTGAGATCAGGGCAGGCAGCAAACAAAATATAATCCATGGGCAGGAAGAAGACCATAGGTGTAATCCAGAAAACACGCCAAAATCAGGGCAGGCAGCAGACAGATCGAGGCAGGTGGCACATTGTGTTGGTAATCCAGAGATAGGTCATGAACAGGGCAAACAGCATTCAAAACATAATCCAGAGTCAGGAAGAAGTCAGGGCAGGTGGCAGACCATAGGTATAATCCAGAGACAAGCCACAATTAGGGCAGGCAGCAGACAGGTCAGAGCAGGTGGCACATCATGTGTGTAATCAAGAGATAGGCCATGAACAGGGCAGGCAGCACACAAAACATAATCCAGAGTCAAGAAGAAGTCAGGGCAGGTTGCAGACCATAGGTGTAATCCAGAGACAGGCTAAGGTCAGGACAGGCAGCAGACAGGTCAGGGCAGATGGCACAGCATATGTGTAATCCAGAGATAAACCATGAACAGGGCAGGCAGCAGACAAAACATATTCCAGGATTAGGAAGAAGTCAGGGCAGGCTGAAGACCATAGGTATAATCCAGAGACAGGCTGCAATCAGAGCAGGCAAGAGACGATACATAATCCATAGACAGGCTGAGATCAGGGCAGGCAGCAAACAAAATATAATTCAAAGGCAGAAAGAAGACCATAGGTGTAATCCAGAAACACGCCAAAATCAGGGCAGGCAGCGGACAGGTCAGGGCAGGTGGCACATCATATTGGTAATCCAGAGATAGGACATGAACAGGGCAGAGAGCATTAAAAACATAATCCAGAGTCAGAAAGACGTCAGGGCAGGTGGCAGACCATAGGTGTAATCCAGAGACAGGCCAAAATTATAGCAGGCAGCAGACAGGTCAGGGCAGGTGGCACATCATGTGTGTAATCAAGAGATAGGCCATGAACAGGGAAGGCAGCAGACAAAACATAATCTAGAGTCAGGAAGAAGTCAGGGCAGGCAGCCGACCATAGATGTAATCCTGAGACAGGCCAAGGTCAGGGCAGGCAGCAGACAGGTCAGGGCAGGTGGCACATCATATGTGTAATCAAGAGATAGGCCATGAACCGGGTAGGCAGCAGACAAAACATAATCCAGAGTCAGGAAGAAGTTGTGGCAGGCAGCAGACCATAGGTGTAATCCTGAGACAGGCCAAGGTCAGAGCAGGCAGCAGACAGGTCAGGGCAGGTGGCACATCATATGTGTAATCAAGAGATAGGCTGTGAACAGGGCAGGCAGCAGACAAAACATAATCCAGAGTCAGGAAAAGTCAGGGCAGGCAGCAGACCATAGGTGTAATCCAGAGACAGGCCAAGGTCAGGGCTGTCAGCAGACAGGTCAGGGCAGATGGCACATCATATGTGTAATCAAGAGATAGACCATAAACAGGGCAGGTAGCAGACAATTATTATTATCCATTATTTTGGAACCTCACAAACACCAATACAATCATGTAGGGGTCGATGAAAGGTTTAATGTAATATATTGCACTCAGAAATGTAATAAAAACATATTCATTGCGGTGTATACGTCAGACCAATAAAGAAACAGACAATTTGGTTCTAGAACAGGAACAGTCCCTTCAAATTAACGGCATCGCTGAAGAGAGGGGACAGAACTGATGTCTCGGGCCGGAACTGAATATCTAATTCTTGTTGTCGGGGGAACACACTTGAGAATGCAGCTACGGGCTGAAGCCAGTGATGCACCGACCCGGAAGTAAGGGCTCCGGGGGCCGGAAGTGTCTGAGTCGTGGATCGCACGGTGCGACAGGCTGGTGTCTGCCGGGTATGAGGGAGCTGGAGAGGAGCCGGGCCGCCTCCGCCGTCCTCCCTCACCATGGCCAAGCCGCGGGGCCTGGACTTCTGGCGGAAAAGCCTGCATGGGCCGCGCTATGTGCTGGCCCCGATGGTGGACCAGAGTGAGCTGGCCTGGAGGCTGCTGAGCCGCAGACACGGAGCCCAGCTCTGCTACACCCCCATGTTACACGCACAGGTCTTTGTCCGGGACCCCAACTACCGCAAGGAGAATCTGTACTGTGAACTGTGCCCCGAGGACAGGCCTCTTATCGTCCAGGTGATAAGACACAGAACCGCGGGGGCGGGGCATAGACACACTGTGTGTGTATAGATACACACACAGGGAAAGGGGGAGACTTTATATTATATATGGCAAGAGGGTGGGGGAGGGGGTCTTGTGTATACCTGTATATTACACCTGACATGGAGAGACCACCCCTGTATTATATATATGACAGCGGGGGAGGGGATCCAATATCTGTATTTTATAAATGACAGTAGCAGAGTGGGGGAGGGGTTCCAATGTATACCTGTGTATTACATCTGATATGAAGGGACACCCCTTGAATACCTATATATTATTTATGACAATTGGCTGCATGGGGGAGGGATTCTTATATCTACCTGTGTTTATATAACAGTGGTCTCTGAACTCTGGCTCTTGGCACGCCATTCCTCCCGCTGGCGCCAATGAGGGGAGGCCATTCCTCCCGCTGGCGCCAATGAGGGGAGGCCATTCCTCCCGCTGGCGCCAATGAGGGGAGGCCATTCCTCCCGCTGGCGCCAATGAGGGGAGGCCATTCCTCCCGCTGGCGCCAATGAGGGGAGGCCATTCCTCCCGCTGGCGCCAATGAGGGGAGGCCATTCCTCCCGCTGGCGCCAATGAGGGGAGGCCATTCCTCCCGCTGGCGCCAATGAGGGGAGGCCATTCCTCCCGCTGGCGCCAATGAGGGGAGGCCATTCCTCCCGCTGGCGCCAATGAGGGGAGGCCATTCCTCCCGCTGGCGCCAATGAGGGGAGGCCATTCCTCCCGCTGGCGCCAATGAGGGGAGGCCATTCCTCCCGCTGGCGCCAACGAGGGGAGGCCATTCCTCCCGCTGGCGCCAACGACGGGACGCCATTCCTCCCGCTGACGCCAGCGAGGGGGACTAGATGGAGGAGTTTTTGTTGTGGGGTGGATTCATTTTTGCATCAATTAATTTGAGTAAAACGGAAGATTTTGTAATCTAAGTTTTATATTATTATTATACAGTATTTATAAAGCACCAATAGTTCGCTCAGCGCTGTACATTACAAAGGGGGACAGAACATGTGACAGAACAATACCAATACAATGCAAAACATGAGGGGATCGAGGGCCCTGCTCTTTCCAGCTTACAATCTAGGAGATCTATTAAAATCTATTATTAACCTTCCTTTCATATAATGAGCTGAACAAATGTTCTATAAAACTCAGTTTTGTCAAAATTGTGCATATCGTTCTTGTGTTCATTGAGATATTGATTAAAATGTTACTTATTTATGCTGAGCACTATGTATGTGTTCTCTCTCTCTGTGTGTGTGTGTATAAAATTGGTGGGAGTCTTGTGTATACCTGGGATTAGTCGTAGTATATCTACCTGTATAATACATTTGGTGCAATGATCCAACTCCTGTGATCTCTGTATTACACTAAGAAACCTTTGGATTTAATCTGAGCCTTGTACATCTCCCATCAGAGGCTAGCCAGTGTTTAGCATGAATGTTTTCCTATTGTCTGTTACTTCTGATACTGGAGGTTTATGTCTGAACCAGGACAGGGACACAGGAACTGCCATTGCTTGTTCTTAAAGGTGCATGCCCAGCGGTTATCCTGATCCTCCAGTTTCACCATTTTGATTCTTTCACTCCTTCACAAGTAATGGTACAGAACACAATCCTGTACAGAATCTGTTCTCCGGTGATTGTCACTGACATGCTGCTTATTTTGGATTTTAGTTCTGTGCAAATGACCCGGAAGTGTTTGTCCAGGCGGCCCTCCTGGCTCAGGACTATTGTGATGCAGTTGATCTGAACCTTGGTTGCCCACAGATGATTGCAAAGAGAGGTAAGCTTGTCTCCCACTCCCCTTTTTTCTTCATATTAGTAAAGAAAACTGCTACTGCATTCTTGCATATTATGGTGGTGTACATAATTGTAACGATTATTAAGTTGGCCACTTTTGTGGGACTGTGCAGGGAATTAGGGGGGGTTCTTTGCCCAGGGGATGTTTGCACTGAGGGGATTTGCCTGGACTTCGGGGGCCCTGGGACACTGAGGTGGCCTCCACTCTGTGGGGCAAGAGAGAGGGGCTGACCAAGGACGTGGGGTGGGGGAGTGTGGAGCAGTGTGGACTGCGGTGGCCCAGGTGCCAGGGCACAGTTTCTGGTCACTTTGGCGACCTGGCACTTGGGATTTGTTGAGCCCTGATTGACGATATCCACTACCTTGCCGGACAAGGAAGATGAACAAATAAAGTATGCTATAAAAAGTCTGGAGGACTACTAGGCTCAGCAAGCCTACTATGGAAACATATAGAATAAGGTAAAGCAATTAAATAAAAAAGATAAGAAAAATATATAGAACAGAGATTTATAAATTCTGCATCCAGTTGATAAAACAACTATTCTGCTGTGTGCAGTGTTTGCCTAAGCCAGACATGCCAGCAGCCAGGGGATTACCTCCTCTCCCTGGCTCAGCCTCTCCTCCAGCCAGCAGACCAAGGCGCTCTGGTGCCCCCACATCCCTGAGCTCGGCTGCCGCCTCCCTCAACCAGGCTATCTCCAGCAATACCCCGGAAGAGGGTGGCAGCAGTAGCGGGGATGAGGGGCTGCCCTGGATCCCCAGCTGGACTGCACTCTGCTGGCAGGCCGCTCCTCCCACCGTGTCAGCTGCTGCCACGCCGCTCTCTTCCTGCTCCATCCCCGGGTCATCTTCATCCCCGCTGCTTATCATGTTCCCCATAATGATGGTGTTACCGAGCAGTGATCTGTTGTATCCAGAAGGCCTTTGAGGCTTGGCCACCTCCACCTTCCCGGCCAGGACCTGCCCGCAGCCTGCCCTGTGTTGGCAGCTGTGGCACATGTCACTGACAAAAGCCCAGGCTCCAGGACGCAATTTCTAGTCGCCATGGTGACCTGGCGCCTGGGATTTGTCAAGTATTTCTTGCCTTTAGTGCTGCTTTAATAAATGCACAAGTATTAGCAATATAAAATTTGTGCATTAAAGTGATACTAAAGCTAAAAACATTTTTTACCTTCTCACATTCCTTTGTATACCATCCATGTCCCACTGTGTGTGTCAGAGTGCTGCTCCATAGACACACAGCTCGGGAGCGAACAAACACAGTGTGCCCCCAAAACAGCTGTTTGCTATGGGGACACATGAAGAAGAGGAGGAGCCAAGATCGGACAAATAGATTCAGAGAGTTTTTCTTCCCAAGGCTATTAAGGCTATTGATCCAGGCATGAAATGAAAGTAATCCATTACACAGATTTGGGTTATTGTTTGTTGTTTTGTTTGAAATGTGGAAAGTTTTAGTACTTTGATAGATTTGTAATTGTGTATGGTAAATGTGCAGGTGGTTGTTTTTGTATGCATAATGTGCAGAATAGAAATGTAATTATTTTATGTAAATAAAAATACAAATTCATTGCGAATCAGATTACAATGATAATAAATCTTGATTAGCGGACCCCAGAGTCTCCTCAAGCTGTACAGCAAAGAGCCCCTGAAATTCCTTATTATACAAGCAGTTTATATTGATACCTCCCCAGCAGGGGTGGACTGACAACTCATGGGGCCCCTGGGCAATAGGGGATCATGGGGCCCCTGTGTCCTTGCCCAAACTCAAAAAAAGCCTATGAAAAAGGAACCGGGGGCATCTCATGGGGCCCCCTACTGACCCTGGGCCCTCGGGCAGTGCCTGAGTTTCCAAATGGTCAGTCCACCCCTGTGAGGGAGTCTATTCCACATTTTCACAGCTCTTACTATGAAGAAACCTTTCCATATTTGGAGATTAAATTTCTTTTCCTCCAGGTATTTTCAATTAAAATGCCGTCTTACAGCTGGCACACCGATGATGTACAAAACGGCACAGCATCACACGTTCTCCAAATACTTTTATATGCATCCCTGTAAAAATATGTGCCTTTCTCCATGTTCAGGTCACTATGGAGCTTTCTTACAAGATGAATGGGTTCTTCTGGAGAAGATGAGTAAGTGCCTTCAGTAAAGTCTCCACCTTTATTTGTAGAAGTACATTCTAAATTTATTGTCGGGTCCCCACTCACTGGGAATTTTGTTCCGCAGTTCAGCTAGCACACCAGAAATTGTCCGTGCCCGTCACTTGCAAGATCCGTGTTTTTCCTGAGGTTGAGAAAACTGTGGCCTACGCCAAGTTACTGGAGAAAGCTGGGTGTCAGGTGGGTTTATCTTGCGTGGGTTGGTTGCAGCAAAGACGTTTTCATGTGCAATTATATCGGCTTATAACAAGATACTTCTGCTTGCAGCTGCTGACGGTTCATGGTCGCACCAAGGAGCAGAAAGGTCCCTTAACGGGTGTTGCATCCTGGGAACATATTAAAGCTGTGAGGTGAGCATGTCATATGAATAGAATAATTGGGGCTCAGAGCTGTTACAGAATATAATATATAATCAGGCTAAGGTGAGACAGGGAGCTAAACTGAGAGTGACCTTCCTGTCTGTGCAGAGGAGCAGAGTTTTGTGAATCATAAGGCTGTCTGCACAGAACTGCAAGTCTGACAGGCAAATCTTATCATTAAAACGTATTTCGGCTGCGTATTGTTGATCTGGCAGTTCACCATAAAACTGAATTTCATTTTTCTTTGCCCGGGCACATTGGGATGGCTGGGGCAGAAATGGCTTTCGAAAACGCTCCTGTTTATTATGAAAAGTGAAATTCTGAACGAAAAGGGGAACATATCCTTTAACCCCCCTGGAGGTATTCCCAAGTGTAGCTCGGGGTAAAGTTTCAGCACCACAAGCGGTGACCCCGAGCTACACTCGGGAATACACTGCAGCGTTGCTCCGGGATCTCTTCTGCACTTACCTTGTCCTGCGCTCCTGCAATGTCCCTCCTGCAGTGTCCCCGGCAATGTCCTCCTGCCGATGCCAGCATCTGTCTTCCGGGTTCCGTTCCCCGGGACATACGGGGGACGGAATTGGCGGGAAATTTAAAAATGTCAAAAAGTGACATTCACTAAAATCACATAGTATAACATTCCTGTATCAAACCATTTCACATACATTTTGTCCCGAGTGCTTTGTCCGGCGCCCCGCCTGCATTTTTACTGTTCTTTTTGCCTGGAAACTGAGAAACGTCCATGGCGTCCAAAAAGCGTCCCTTTAGGTCAAAATCGGTTTTAGACCGGCTAGAGAACAGCGATAGTAAATCAGAACCACTTGCAGAATTGAGTGATAATGATTCGTGGGGGAAATTCGTCATCAGACACTGAACACGATTCTGCGACTTTGCTCAGTGATGTGCGAACTTGGCGCTATATTTCAGATTTCAGTGTTTTTGGTTTGATTATATTATTGAATTAAATTTATTATAAACGTATTATTTTTTATGATTTATTAAATTACAATTTATGATTTCGTGTTTCAAATTTTAACATACCCGGGATGTTACTAGACTCTTGTTCGGACAGATTTTCAGTGAGTTATTCCTAAAACTTACAGGCCTACAATAAAAAAAACTACATATTTCCATGCAAAAAAAGTACCACTTTGAGCACAGAAATACTGACATAATCAGACCGCTAGGGAGATTAATGGATGGATGTTAATCTGAAGGAACGTACAATTTTAGGTAGACTGCACTTGCATTCAAGTTGCCCAAAGCAATACTCGTATGCGATGATGACTCTCCATTGAAAGAGCTGAAATCCAGTGATTGAAAGGAGCGGGCAAGAGACAAGTCAGGCTGAGGAGGAAAGCTTCATAATGCTGCATGTTCTGGCTTTGACTTGCTGCAGATTCAGATGCACACTATGATAAACTGACAGTGTGCAGTGAAATCGGAGTAAGCAATTTCAGTTGCAAGACTGAAGGTAAGGCTGGAGTTCAGCATTTAGCATCTGCGCAGAAAATGTTTAGACTTCCACTTTTTAGTGCATTGTAGTGAATGCTGCTTTTTTATTGATTTTCTTGCAGTGGATAATAAACTATACCTTTTTCCTTTTGATATAGGGATGCTGTCAGTATTCCTGTTTTTGCCAATGGGAATATACAGTACCTTAGTGATGTTGATCGATGTATTCAAGAGACTGGAGTCCAAGGAGTAATGAGTGCAGGTTCGTATCTCCATTTCCTGTAGGGTTAGAACATTTTACACTTTTCTTTTTTTTCTTTTTAATATTTCTTTTTTTCTTATAGGCAGAATCACATGTACACTATATTGCCAAAAGTATTGGGCCCCCCTCCAAATCATTGGATTTAGGTTTTCCAATCACTTGCATGGCCACAGGTGTATAAAATCAAGCACCTAGGCATGCAGACTGCTTCTAAAAATATTTGTGAGAGAATGGGTCGCTCTCAGGAGCTCAGTGACTCCAAGCGTGGTCCCGTGATAGGTGGCCACCTGGGCAATAAGTCCATCCGTGACATTTCTTGGCTACTAAATATTCCACGCTCAACTGTTAGTGGGATTATAACAAAGTGGAAGCAACTGGGAACAACAGCAACTCAGCCACCAAGTGGTAGGCCATGTCACATGACAGAGCGGGGTCAGCGCATGCAGAAGCACACAGTGTGCAGAAGTCACCAACTGTCTGCAGAGTCAATAGCTAAAGACCTTCAGATTAGCACAACAACAGTGTGTAGAGAGCTTCATGGCATGGGTTTCCATGGCCAAGCAGCTGCACCCAAGCCTTACATCACCAAATGCAATGCAGAGTGTTGGATGCAGTGGTGTAAAGCACGCCGCCACTGGACTCTAGAGCAGTGGAGACGTGTTCTCTGGAGTGACCAATCACTCTTCTCTGTCTGGCAATCTGATGGACATGTCTGGCGGTTTCCAGGAGAACGGTACTTGCCTGACTGCATTGTGCCAAGTGTAAATTTTGGTGGAGGGGGGATTATGGTGTGGGGTTGTTTTTCAGGGGTTGGGCTTGGCCCCCTAGTTCCAGTGAAGGGAACTCTTAAAGCATCAGCATACCAAGACCTTTTGGACAATTTCATGCTCCCAACTTTGTAGGAAGAGTTTGGGGGATGGCCCCTTCCTGTTCCAACATGACTGCTCACCAGTGCACAAAGCAAGGTCCATAAAGACATGGAGGTGCCAGTTTGGGGTGGAGGAACTTGACTGGCCTGCACAGAGTCCTGACCTCAACCCCATAGAACACCTTTGGAATGAATTAGAGCGGAGACTGTGAGCCAGGCCTCCTTCCCCGACATCAGTGCCTGACCTGACAAATGTGCTTCTGGAAGAATGGTCCAACCTTCCCATAGACACCCTCCTAAACCTTGTGGACGGCCTTCCCAGAAGAGTTAAAGCTGTTATAGCTGCAAAGGGCGGGGCCAACTCAATATTGAACCCTACGGACTAAGACTGGGGGGCCATTAAAGTTCATGTGCGTGGAAAGGCAGGCCGACCAATACTTTTGGCAATATAGTGTATGTATTACAGCAAAGCATGTTTTGAATTTCTGGCACACTACAGTTGTGGCCAAAATTATTCAACCCCCAATGCTGTAAAGGGGTTTAGGGACTATAGTGTACATTTGGAATTGTATTCAGAATCAAATCCTACAAGGACGTTGTAACTACCCAAATGCAACTAAAATGACATCAATTGTTTATGTAATACAGTAGTAAATGGTTCTTATGTGGTTTCTTCATTGCCACAATTATTCAACCCCTTAAAGACTACCACTCTGAAGAACAGAGGTTCATACAGGTGCTTTCCATCAGGTATTGAAAACACCTGTGGATGTCACCGAGCAGCAATCAAGCATAATAAGCACCAATTAGGCAGCTTTAAAATGACTGTGATACTCAGCTCCTTCTAGACATTTACTGGTGTGGTTACAAACATGGTGAAGGCAAGAGAATGGTCCAGGAAGACAAGAGAAGAGGTGATTTCTCTTCACAGGAAGGGCAATGGCTATAAGAAGATTGCAAAGATGTTAAACATACCAAGAGACACCTTAGGAAGCATCATTCGCAAATTCAAGGCAAAGGGCACTGTTGAAACGCTACCTGGTCGTGGCAGAAAGAAGATGCTGACTTCGACTGCTGTGCGCTACCTGAAGCGTAGAGTGGAGAGAAGTCCCCGTGTGACTGCTGAGGAACTGAGAAAAGATTTGTCAGATGTGGGTACAGAAGTTTCAGCCCAGACAATAAGACGCACACTGCGTAATGAAGGCCTCCGTGCCAGAACTCCCAGGCGTACCCCCTTGCTGTCTCCAAAGAATAAGAAGAGTCGACTGCAGTATGCCAAAAGCCATGTGGACAAACCACAAAAGTTGTGGGATAGTGTTCTGTGGACTGATGAAACAAAATTAGAACTGTTTGGGCCCATGGATCAACGCTATGTTTGGAGGAGGAAGAACAAGGCCTATGATGAAAAGAACACCTTGCCTACTGTGAAGCATGGTGGAGGGTCAATCATGCTTTGGGGCTGTTTTTTGCTTCTGCAGGTACAGGGAAGCTTCAGCGTGTGCAAGGTACCATGAATTCTCTTCAGTACCAGGAGATATTGGATGGAAACGTGATGCAGTCCGTCACACACCTGAGGCTTGGGAGACGTTGGACCTTTCAACAGGACAATGATCCCAAGCATACCTCCAAGTCCACTAGAGCATGGTTGCAGAGGAAAGGCTGGAACATTTTGGAGTGGCCATCGCAGTCACCAGACTTAAATCCGATTGAGAACCTCTGGTGGGACTTAAAGAAAGCAGTTGCAGTGCGCAAGCCTAAGAATGTGACTGAACTGGAGGCCTTTGCCCATGAAGAATGGGCGAAGATACCCGTAGATCGCTGCAAGACACTTGTGTCAAGCTATGCTTCACGTTTAAAAGCTGTTATAACTGTAAAAGGATGCTGTACTAAGTACTAAGATTGAATGTCACTTGGGGGTTGAATAAAAACTGATAATGCTGTGAGCACAGAAAAGACATTTGTGGTTATTTCATTATAACTGTTATGTTATATTTGTCTGACCTACAAGTGCCTCTTTAATGTAAATGTAAGCAAGATGACTGAATGATCAAAAGCAATGTCAAACTGGCCAAAACACTCAATTTCAGTGGGGGTTGAATAATTTTGGCCACAACTGTAATTCAGCTGCAGGCAATGCACCTACCAAGCTCTTTGAAAAAAAACCAAAAGGTGAGGGGAGTCCTGTCCAATTATGGCTGCGTAGGTCCTAATGCAACAGCTATTCTAAAATGTAAGATGGCTCTTAAAGGCTAAGTTCACTTTTTAGAAAAATATATAAACGCACAAATTTAAGCATAAAAAAAAATGTGAAATTTTTTTTTTTCCTGCAGGAGCTCGGAAAGCATTGCACCCGTGATCAGTAGATCAGGGGTGCAGTATTCAACTACTGCAGGCAAGCCGTGCAGCTTTCATCCTATACCTGCATATGGGCGCTCTGTTTGAAAGCTACAGGGCTTGTGAATGAGCCACTCAAGAACACTCATCAGTGCCCTCGCAGTTCATTCAGAACCACAAGCCATCAGCCGTGGTGGAAGATGTTGTTGTGGTTCATGCATTCTCGGGAATTAATGACGTGGGAGGAGCTCTGCACAGTCTCACTGTTTTTAAATTGTGGGAGCAGGGAGAACATCCCCACCCAATATACAGATCGTTTTCCCAAAACCAAGATGGCTACGGCTAGTTCACATATTGTGCAGTGGCTTGTTTTCCGGTTCCGACCAACGCGTTTTGTCACAGGTGACATCATCAGGGGCATCTGTACATGTGATGTGCCTGTTTATCATCCATCCATTGTAAGTACATATACCAGGGGTGGACTGATCATTTGGAAACTCGGGCACTGCCCGAGGGCCCGGGGTCAGTAGGGGGCCCCATGAGATGCCCTTGGTACCTTTTTCATAGGCTTTTTGGGACACAGGCCCCATGATCCCCTATTGCCCGGGGGCCCCATGAGTTGTCAGTCTGCCCCTGGCATATACCTCATTAAATCTGCTTACTCTACTGGTTTACACTATGGGGAGTGTTTATCTCCCTCTTTTGTGATGCCATTGCAAACAAGTCCAATTGTACAATGAGCTGTGGGAAAATAACAGTGTGGTTGTCTGGTAAAGTACTTGGAAGAAGTTAGATATTCTTGTGGATTCTATAGAGCGTCGATTGACTACTCATTACTCTGGTAAGCCCCCCCCCTTTTTTTTTTCACACTGAGGTGGTGTGCGGCTTTACTACGGGGAAGTTCAGAAGCTGTTGGAATACACAACTATCCTCTTGTTATATATAGAAATGATACACTGCAGAGCTCAGTGATGTCTGATTGGATTGAAGGGGCACCTCCCCCTGCACACAAGAACAGAGCTGAGGCTGTCAATCACAAGCTGTGAGCTGGAGCTCCCTCCCTTTTCATGTTTTAGTAAAACTGGAGCGTGCAAAATCTGGTGCAGCTTGGCATAGAAACCAATCGACTTCCAGGTTTGATTGTCAAAGCTTAATTGAACAAGCTGAAGGTAGAAGCTGGTTGGCTGCCGTGCACAGCTGCATCAGATCCTGAGTGCTCCAGTTTAAATTTCCCCCTTAATGTTTTTTATATTCGCATTATGTTTCGTTTTAAACATGCCATCTCTATCAGCCAACATGAACAATTGAATAGATCATTGAAGAGCTTAGTGACTGTCTTTGGAAACAGATCATAGGGTGCTACGGTGTTAACAAGGCAATTCAGTGCGGTTGTTGCCCTGTTGGTTTGCTGAGATGGGAGTGACTAGTCTACACCAATCTTTGACCTAAGAATTAATTGGAATGTGCTGGATACAACTAGGTCTCCCCACCAATACAACTCATTAATTCTCCTTGTGGCTCTGTGCAAATTCTGCCAACCAGCAATGTTTTATCCTTCCCAAAAGATTAACCCCTTGCCCTCCTGAGGATTTACCCCCCCTTCCTGACCCGGCCATTTTTTTGTGATACAACACTGCTTTACTTTAACTGACAATTGCGCGGTCATGCAAGGCTGCACCCAAATTAAATTTGTCCTTTTTTTTTTCCACAAATAATGCTTTCTTTTGGTGGTATTTGATCGCCTCTGCGGTTTTTATTTTTTGCGCTATAAACCAAAAAAATACAGACAATTTTGAGAAAACAACAATATTTGTAACTTTTTGCTATTAAACATGTCCAGTAAAATAAAAAAATCAAATTTCGTCATAAATTTAGGCCAAGATGTATTCTGCTACATATCTTTGGTAAGAGAAAAAAAATCCCAATACGTGTAAATTATTTGGTTTAAGTGAAAGTTAGAGTCTACAAATAGCGGTTTAGATACTGGAATTTTTTTTTTTTAATACTAGTAATGGCAATCAACGACTTATAGCGGGACTGTGGCGGGCAAAATATACTGTGGACAGATGAAACCAAGATTGAGTTGTTTGTGAAGAACACACAACACTATGTGTGGAGAAAAAAAGGCCCAGCACACCAACATCAAAACCTCATCCCCACTGTAAAACATGGCGGAGGGAGCATCATGGTTTGGGGCTGCTTTGCTGCCTCAGGGCTTGGACGGATTGTTGTCATTGATGGGAAAATGAATTCCAGAGTTTATCAAGACATTTTGCAGGAAAACGTACGACCATCTGTCCGCCAACTGAAGCTCCGCAGAGGATGGGTGATGCAACAGGACAATGACCCAAAGCATACAAGTAATTCAACAAAACAATGGCTGCAACAGCACAGAATACGCCTTCTGGAGTGGCCCAGTCAGAGTCCTGACCTCAACTCAGTTGAAATGCTGTGGCATGACCTTAAGAGAGCGATTCACCAGACATCCCAAGAATATTGCTACACTGAAACAGTTTTGTGAAGAGGAGTGGTCCAAAATTACTGCAGATTGTTGTGCAGGTCTGATCTGCAACTACAGGAAACGTTTGGTTGAAGTTATTGCTGCCAAAGGAGGGTCAACCAGTTATTAAGTCCAAAGGTTCACATACTTTTTCCTCCCTGCACTGTGAATGTTTACATATTATGTGCAATTAAACCATGACAACATCTAATGTTGTGTAGTATTATGTTCAGCAGACTGTGTTCTTCTATTGTTGTGACTTAGATGACGTTCAGAGCACATTTTATGCCCAATTCATGCAAAACTCCACGTAATCCCAAGGGATTCACATACTTTTTCTTGCAACTGTAAAAGAATATACAGCCAACTCACCCAATTAGGGGTGGTGTCCTCAGGACCAAAAACACAAAGACCTAAGTTACCAATAATCATTGAGAAGTCCCAACGGAGATCCAATCCGCAGCTTGAAAAAATAACTAAATTTTATTGACAGTATCAAACATTCAGTAATTGTGAATATCCATCCACCCTGCACAATTAAAACACAATGACAACGTTGTCATGTACAGTAAAAACACCACACTGGCTCTCAGACAACTTTGACCTGAGTTGAGGTAATGGATGCAACCCCTCTCTATGCAGTCTTATAGGGAAACATGCACATCTGAGGCTGTCAAAATCACCTGCTTTGTGTTGAAGGGGTTGTGGGTTGCCACCATGGATTGCTTGGTGTCAAAGAAAACACATGCAAATTGCTGGTTAGGGAGAGAGCATCCAACATCCATGCTAGGTGCTATGGACTGAGGCAGGAACACACTATATGAGAATATGCAGTGTTTATTTTTCCTGTCTGAGGTTTATGACCACTTTATTATTACGTTCTGGTATGGCATAGTGGTACAGGACCCCAGAAAACTACTAACATATTTGTGTGGATTTCAGAGGGGAATCTTCACAATCCGGCCTTGTTTGAAGGGAGGAGTCCCGTGGTATGGGAGATGGCAGAGGAATACCTGGACCTCGTCCGGCAATACCCATGCCCTTTGTCTTTTGTTCGGGCCCACCTCTTCAAGTTGTGGCACCACACGTGAGTATTGGACTTTATGTGCTTCTTCCATCCCAGTTTGGTTTCCAGCATGTTGAGTAATTTGCTTCTTACACTTCTTGGTTGCTCTAGAGGCACAATAGCCCTGTCATAATTCCTGCTTTAGCTTGACTGCTATCATAAATCTAACACTTCCCAGATGGATACTGCTTTCTATAGAGTACATATTTGAGAAGCCAAGCTGTAAGAGATTAATACCTTCATGATAGGCCTTGTGGGAGAGGCTGAGACACTAATAAAGGAAAATGCAACATCGGTGTCTCTTGGAGATGCAAGAATCCGGCTTACAATTCCTCTCACTTACCAACCAGACCATAGTGATACTGTACTACTTGTGGGGGTGATGAAGATTTTTTTTTTTTTTCTCTTTGCACTGCTTTTACACTCATAAAGGCTGTAAAAGCAATCGTTTTTCTTTCTCTCTGCATTTTTGTAGCCATTGAGAAATACTGTGAGAGCTGTGATTGGTCACAGCTTGTCACATGGTACAAGGCTGTTGTGAATAGCCTTGTACCATGTGACCTCTATGATCATTCACAGATTTCACTAGTAGTAAGCAATGATGTCAGAAGTGACATCTTGCTTACTACTATTCATGTGATCACTGATTGGCCAATCGGTGATCACATGATCGGGACCTCACACAGAGCTCCCGTACAGCAATCGGTGTTCTGCTGTGTCCTCTGGACACAGCGGGCACCGGATCGCGGTGCCGCGCTCTCTCAGGGAGCACGCACAGGCAGGGAAGCGGGAAGACATTTATAAACGTATACATGGGCCGGATGGGAAGTGGTAAAGGGAGTCTAAAATATAAAAGAAATATAGGAGCTGCCATCATCTGTTTGTTTAAGGTGCATTACCATTTATCAGCAAATGAAAGCCCAATCTATCCTGAACAGCAAGATCTAATTCACAGGATACAGTAAGTAGTTGTGGTGAGATGTGCAGTTTTACTAACACATGCCAAAGCTGCAAAAACTAGATTCAGGCATTAGGATTTGTTTTACCTTCCGTCATGAAGGCGTTAAAGGCAGCCTCAGATTCTCCACCAGCAATTCATTATCTAAAGTCAAACATTATTTTAGGTCCCATTTCACATGAAAGATCCAACCTAGCAAAATGTAACATCAAAAGTAAATTTTCCAAAGTCATTCCAGCCCTTGTCAGTTCCAGGATGGGCACAATCAGAAGTCTGACACCACTGTGCTTGTGAAATGACTCCAGTTACCATTTGACACCTAATTCATTCATTGTCTTTGACAGCTCATGCTACATAGCTTACTTCAAAAGACCTTTCTAGCTCTTAGATCTGACTGACTAGATAGCAAATTTGCTGTCTGATTAAAAGGGTCCTACACGGTGTGCGTCTGTTCTACAGTTTTCTTATAGATGTACAGTGGGGATTGAAAGTTTGGGCACCCCAGCTAAAAATTTGTATTAATGTGCATAAAAAAGCCAAGGAAAGATGGAAAAATCTCCAAAAGGCATCAAATTACAGATTAGACATTCTTATATGTCAGCAAAAGTTAGATTTTATTTCCATCATTTACACTTTCAAAATAACAGAAAACAACATATGGTGTCTGCAAAAGTTTGGGCACCCTGCAGAGTTAATATCTTGTACTGCCCCCTTTGGCAAGTATCACAGCTTGTAAATGCTTTTTGTAGCCAGCCAAGAGTCTTTCAATTCTTGTTTGAGGTATCTTTGCCCATTCTTCCTTACAAAAGTCTTCCAGTTCTTTGAGATTTCTGGGCTGTCTGTCACGCACTGCTCTTTTAAGGTCTATCCATAGATTTTCAATTATGTTGAGGTCAGGAGATTGTGAAGGCCATGGCAAAACCTTCAGTTTACGCCTCTTGATGTAATCCCCCGTGGATTTCGAGGTGTGTTTAGGATCATTATCCATTTGTAGAAGCCATCCTCTCTTTAACTTCAGCTTTTTCACAGATGGCATCAAGTTACCATCCAAAATTTGCTGAAATTTTATTGAATCCATTTTTCCTTCTACTCGTGAGATGTTCCCTGTGCCACTGGCTGCAACACAACCCCAAAGCATGGTTGATCCAACCCCATGCTTAACAGTTGGACAGAGGTTCTTTTCATTAAATTCTGTGCCCCTTCATCTCCAAATGTACCTTTGCTCATTCCGGCCAAAAAGTTCAATTTTAACCTCATCGGTCCACAGAACTTGTTTCCAAAATGCATCAGGCTTGTCTATATGTTCATTTGCAAAGTTCAAACGATGATTTTTGTGGTGAGGACGTAGAAGAGGTTTTCTTCTGATGACTCTTCCATGAAGACCATATTTGTACAAGTATCTCTTTATAGTGGAATAGTGTACCACAACTCCAGTGTCTGCCAGATCTTTCTGGAGGGATCGTGCAGTCAAATGTGGGTTTTGAATTGTATTTCTCACAATCCTGCGAGCTGTTCTGTCTGATATTTTTCTTGGTCTTCCAGATCTTGCTTTAACTTCCACTGTTCCTGATGACTGCCATTTCTTAATTACATTCTGAAAAGAGGATATTGACATCTGAAAACGCTTTGCTATCTTCTTATAGCCTTCTCCAGCTTTGTGAGCGTCAACTATTTTCAGTTTCAGTTTTCTAGACAACTGCTTAGAAGAACCCATGGTGCTGATTGTTGGGGCAAGGTCAGAGGAGTCTGGGCATTTAAAACCTTTGAGATTGACATAACCTGGTCTTCCCAGACGATGATTGAGAACAATCCATGACACTGGCAGGTCTCAGCTTGGCAAAGGGGGCAGTGCATGCTATAAATTCTGCAGGGTGCCCAAACTTTTGCAGACGCCATTTTTTTGTTTTCTGTTATTTTGAAAGTGTAAATGATGGAAATAAAATTAACTTTTGTTGACATATTATAAGAATGTCTAATCTGTAATTTGATGCCTTTTGGATATTTTTCCATCTTTCCTTGGCTTCTTTATGCACTTTAATACAAATTTTTAGCTGGGGTGCCCAAACTTTCGATCCCCACTGTATATGGGCCTTGCCTGAAATCTCTAAAAGGACCTTAAGAGAATGTATTTTTAAGCAGAGTTTAATCAACATTAAAGTGGTTCTAAAGGCAGAACATTTTTTACCTTAACCACTTCAGCCATTTTTTATTTATTTTATTTCAGGTACTTATATAGCGCCGTCCATTTACGCAGCGCTTTACATATATATTGTACATTCACACCAGTCCCTAACCCTCAAGGGGTGTACAATCTAAGGTCCCTAACTCACATTCATACATACACATACTAGGGCCAATTTAGACAGGAGCCAATTAACCCACGCAGGCACAGGGAGAACATGCAAACTCCAGGCAGGTGCTGCCGTGGTTGGGATTTGAACCAATGACCCTAGTACTGCCAGGTGAAAGTGCTAACCATTTAGCCACTGTGCTGCCCCATGGAGCCATGCAGCACTGTACCCAAAGAAAATATATATCATATTTTTTTTCACACAAATAGAGCTTTCTTTTGGTGGTATTTGATCACCACTTTTTATTTTTTGTGATATAAATGAAATGCGCAGGATGAATGCACATGTCTGTGTTGGTGCAGTATCAGCACATGGGTGCAGTGGCAAAGGTGCGCTTTGTTGCTGTTGTGGAAGTTCTGGAACTGCCAGAGGATGTAGATATCGGACCATCCTGAAGACCTGTGGAAAAAGGTATTATTATTATACAGTATTTATATAGCGCCAAAGGGTTTGCTCAGCTCTTTACAATAGCTAGAGGGACAGAACATGAGACAAAACAGTAACAATACACGAGGGGTTCGAGGGCCCTGCTCTTTCGAGCTTACAATCTAGGAGGGAGGGGATAGTGGTACAGGAGGAAGTGGCTGTGGGGGATGGAGTGGTGGAGATCAGTTGTTAGGTGAGGGTGGGGTAGACTTCCCTGAAGAGATGGGTTTTCAGGAAACGCCTGAAGGTGAGGAGGGTAGGTGACAGTCTGATGGATTGGGGTAGAGAGTTCCAGAGGATGGGGGAAGTCCTGGAGAAGTCCTGTAATCGGGCGTGGGAGGAGGAGACCAGGGAGCTAGAGAGTAGGATGTCCTGTGAGGAGCGGAGGGCACGGGTAGGGTGGTATTTGGGTATCAGGTCAGTTAGGTAGTTTGGGGCAGCGTTATGAATGGCTTTGTAGGTCAGAGTTAGTAATTTGAATTTGATGCGTTGGGCAATCGGGAACCAGTGAAGGGATAGGCAGAGGGGGGAGGCGGATGTGAGGTGGATGAGTCTGGCCGCTGAGTTCAGGATAGACTGGAGTGGGGATAGCGTTCGTTTGGGTAGGCCAGTGAGAAGGGAGTTGCAGTAGTCCAGGCGTGAGATGATGAGGGAGTGTACGAGTTGTTTGGTGGTGTCTGGGGTGAGGAACGTGCGTATCTTGGAGATGTTGCGGAGGTGGAGCCTGCATGACTTTGATAGCGATTGCACATGAGGTTGGAAGGAAAGGTTTGAGTCCTGGGTGACACCCAGGACTTTGGCGTGTGGGGTGGGATTGATGGTGGCGTTGCTAGTAGTGATGGTATGCATGTGTCTGTCTGTCTCTTTACGTAGAGGTTGGGGGGGGGGGAGGAGCGAGGTGGTGTGTGCGGAAAAAATGGAAATCTACTTTAATGAAAGGGAGGTATAGGTTTTGCCTATAGCCACCAGTCGACTTCCAGCTGTCATTTTACTTTCTAATGGCAGTAAGAAATCTCCGTGCTTACAGGGGCTGCTGAACTCGGTTGCTGTGCTCAGCACAGACCCTTTCAGAAGACCACTTCTGAACCATGTGGCCCATCATGGGTTTTGTAGGCGATGGGGCATGTTGACATGTAATAATGTCAGCAGGATGATTAATACATCTTCCAGCAATAAGAACTCACAGGTTTTGTCGAAATTCTGTGAAGCTATTTATTTTGAGACATTAAAGCGTGATCCTCCCGGGGACCCGATGCACCTTTTGAAATTGAAATGTACATGTTTCGCCTTTCCTGTGGATGCCGTAATGAGGATTCTGGGCTCTGCTCATTATGATGCCCCCTTGTGTTACCGCGCTGTAGAAATTCTCAGCATACTGAGAACCCCCTCGGAGCCATCGTCTGTGTATTACTCCTGCTTGCTTGATGCTCTTCTGAGGATTAATCTTTTTTTTCTTTTTTTTTTTTTTTTTTAACACTGATGATGCAGAGCATAAAGAATTCATAATTCTGACACTCTTCAAAGTAATTACATAGCAGATCCAACTTTCCCCCCCTGAAATAAAATGATTAAAATGTATCAGTCGGTGTCTCTTTACAAAGCAAGCTATACTCCCCCCTTAAGGCCTTGTTAACTCCTAGCTTGTCTCTAGATGCATTAGGAATATAAACAGTCTTACTTTCTTGAACAACCTTTTGCCAGTCGTTATGACCTGCTGCATGTAAAGCAGTCCGTATTCGGGGAGTGGAGGTCCCACAAAGCCTTGCCAGCCATAATAACGAACAACCTGCTGGACCGATGCATGGCCCAGACTGCAGCTATAGCGGAGTTAGGAGCTCAGGAAACCAGAACAGTTGAATACTTAAAGCGGAGCTCCACCCAAAAGCGGAAGCTCCGCTTTAAGGACTGCTCCACCACTCCCCATTAAGGATTGGCGTGGGGGGGGGGGGGAGCGGGTACCCGAATTTGACAGGTACCCGCTCCCATTTCCGGTTCAATCGCCTAGGTGACCGGAAGCAGAAGGTGTCCTCCTCCCTGTAGTCTTTTGGGACACGTGACAGGTCCCAGAAGACTTTAGGACCATTCATGAAGCGCAGCGCTGCTCGCACATGTGCAGTGGGTGCCCGGCTGTGAAACTGCAAACTGTCACAGCCGGGTGCCCACACTGAAGATGCCAGCCTTCTGGAATACAGGACGACCGGTGAAACAGGATGTGGGGGACACACCACAGGACCAAGGGACAGGTAAGTGGCTGTTTTTTAAAAATCAACAGCTACAGTTTTTGTAGCTGCTGACTTTTATTTTATGACAGGGTGTGTGGAACTCCGCTTTAAAGAGCAATATATAGCAGCGCTTTCCAATGGACACAGCAAAGTTCCTATTTTGCACTGTGGCCTGAATTTTACATCACATTAACAAAACAAAAAAAAAACAGGCCACAGTGTGGACTATACGGTGTATCACAGAGTTCCATCTGCTTAAACCTGAAACTTATTGGAAGCTTTAGTTCTCAATATAGGGAGAGGGCGGTGCAGAAACAACACATTTGGAGACATGCAAGGATGCATCTGTAGTTCCTCCATCACTGGGGACTGATTATGTCATTATTGTAAAGGCAGAAAATCTCAGTTTTTGGAGAATTTAAATGGTAAAGGCCAGCTCTAGTTTGGGACACTCCCTGTAGACATGATACATACCTTTTCTATTTGAGTGACTTCTATGCAGTCATGTGAAAAGCTCAGTCCTTCTTCAGCATCCTCAGTGCTGCGTGGAATGGCCAGGCTATACACTGTGAGACCAGGATACATAGTGATTTACCACCAGGTATGGAGAGGGTGTCTGTGACAGCCTGGGCTCACAGTGGTTTTCTGACGTGGGGCACTAAATAAGCCAGAAGACAGCTTTCAAGCATTGGGGGGGGGGGGGTAGTAATTTATGCAGCTGTAATTTCGCTTAAACTTTGTATTCTGTGACAATTGCTAACAATGTTCAGCAAAGCTGTATTTCACTTTTTGTGACAATTGCTAACCATGTATTTTTTTTAAATGGCTTAGTCTGCAGGTTTACCAAGAACTACGAGAAGACCTGGCAAAGGCCAAGTCCCTGGAAGGCATTATTGCTGTTAATAATGAACTGAAAGTCAAGTGCCAGGTAATAAGAGCATGCCATATTGGTGTATGGACCGGCAGTCTAAAGACTCACTGCTGGAGATTGTACCAAGGCACATCTAATTCTAACAGTAGTGGTGTGAACCTCCTGCACTCCCAAGTGTTTAAACTGTATAAAAAACCAGGAGAAGCTGCTAACATTAAATCATATACCAGTGATTGTGATAAATAAATACAACAAAGAATGTAGCGCTACTCCCTAAGGTATATACAGACAAAAATATATAATTCATAAAATGTGAGATCTCAAAATTACATCAAAAATAGCGGACGGGGAGCCGCAGGAGAGCCTCAAGAGATTGATGCTGCAACTTACCTGGATAGGAGCCAGTGGTGGAATATTAATTTCTGAGAGAGCAACATTTGGAGTGATAGCTATCTTGGAGGATCCGTGAGGGGGATCCACAAAAGCGCTTTGATCCGCAAGGGCCGAAGTGATAAGGTGAGAGTCTTATCCAGATGGTGGTCGGATTGTCAGATTCACATGCACCCAGAGATCTACACGAGTTCTTGTTGATTTTTGGTCACCAACAGTAGTCATTGGAAGCACGGGTTTTCTTTGGTCACCATCAGCATTTATTGGACTTTGTGAGCACTGTTTTTTGTACTGTTATATTGTGTTTTTTTCACTACACAAGAGGCACGTGTGATTTTGGATACACATAATTATATATATGTAAATGTTTTTTCACATGTTTTGAGTTATTTGATTTTATTTTGTAGATTCAATGAATCATGGGCACTAAGTAATATTAATTGATATCACTATCACATTTATATTTACCGTATTTTTCGCTCCATAAGACGCACTTTTTTCCCCCCAAAAAAAGGGGGGAAAATGTCAGTGCGTCTTATGGAGTGAATATAAAGTGGCCGGTCCGGTATTTTTGCGGCCACCATGTCAGAATACCGGGCCGGCCACTCAGCTGTTCTCTCTTGCAGGGCCTTACCTGTTCCTCGCTCCAGCGCTGTACAGTCTTCCCGCGCTGGCTTCTGTGACAGCCGGGTGCCCACTGCGCATGTGCTGCACTTTGTGAATGATCCGGTGTCTTCTGGGACACATGAAAGGTCCCAGAAGGCGCCGGGCCATTCACAAAGCGCAGCGCTTCTCGCACATGCGCAGTGGGCACCCGGCTGTCACAGAAGCCGGCCCGGGAAGAAGAGGGAAGGCAACTCCGCGGAAGTGGGAGCGGGTACCTGTCAAATTCAGGTACCCGCTCCCCCTCCCTCCCCAAAGGTCAGCAGTCTCTGGTCATTCCCTTCACTGTCTGCAGTCTCTGGTCATTCCCTGCACTGTCTGCAGTCTCTGGTCATTCTCTGTACTGTGCCTGCAGTCTCTGGTCATCTCCTGTACTGTGTCCGCAGTCTCTGGTCATTCTCTGTACTGTGCCTGCAGTCTCTGGTCATTCTCTGTACTGTGCCTGCAGTCTCTGGTCATTCTCTGTACTGTGTCTGCAGTCTCTGGTCATCCCCTGTACTATGTCCGCAGTCTCTGGTCATCTCCTGTACTATGTCCGCAGTCTCTTGGTCATCCCCTGTACTTTGTCCGCAGTCTCTGGTCATCTCCTGTACTATGTCCGCAGTCTCTGGTCATCCCCTGTACTGTGTCCGCAGTCTCTGGTCATCTCCTGTACTGTGTCCGCAGTCTCTGGTCATCTCCTGTACTATGTCCGCAGTCTCTGGTCATCTCCTGTACTGTGTCCGCAGTCTCTGGTCATCCCCTGTACTGTGTCTGCAGTCCATTGGTTCAGAATATTTTTTTTTCTTGTTTTTCACCTCTAAAACCTAGGTGCGTCTTATGGTCAGGTGCGTCTTATGGAGCGAAAAATACGGTATTTTTTATTTTTGATGTATTTTTGAGATCTCACATTTTATGAATTATATATTTTATGTGTGTATATACCTTAGGGAGTAGCGCTACATTCTTTATTGTATTTATTTATCACATCTAATTCTAGCTCAGCAAACTAGGGAAAAAAAGAAATTGGCTCAGATCAGTTGCTGCAGCCAAATGATGGTGTCTTCTTTACGTGGTGTGTTCTTTACAATAAAGAAATAATTGAGAAAATCCTTCGGAGAGTGATATTTTTATTATAGCCTTCTGCTGGGAGTGTATATAGACCTGGTAATTTGAGGAATACTTTTTGTTTTGAAGGTATAGATATATGAAGGTGAAGTGAAAGGCAGTGAATTGTTTTCTTTTTTTTTTTTTTTGCAGGAAGAAGTAGCTAACAAGAAGGAAGGAGATGAGACTACAGGAGACTTGCCTTTTCCCCATTGGATATGTCAACCTTATGTACGACCACCGTAAGTCCTGTTCATCATTTTGCAGTATTTACAAAGTAATAATTATAGTGTAGTTCAGGGATGGACAACCTGCAGCCCTCCTACTGTTGCAGAACTACAAATCCCATCTCGCCTCTGGGAGTCATGTTTGTCAGTTGTGCACTGCTTCATAGGAAATGTAGTTCCACCATAGCCGGAGGGTCATAGCTTGCTCACCAGTAGGTAGGTAGGTGTAGGTAGCTCTTTTGCCATTGGTCAAATAGGGGGGTGGGGGGGATATCTAAACATACTCGGGGTTTATTACTGTCCTTTTCAGTTTAGAAATCCTCTGAGATTGCATTGTTTGCCCTAGAACTTCCGGAGGGAGCCTGTGTGCATAAAGTGTGGAGGAAATTTAAAGCTAAACTCAAGGCTAGCCCACATGGAAGAAAAATATATATTTTAAAAATATTCTTCCCAAATGTATTGACATATATTTGAAATGCTACAATTTTGACCGTATTCAATATTCCATTGGTGGAGGGCTCTTGGGCTCTTCCACTAGGCTCTTCCTCAGCTGCAATACCATCTGCAGGAAAAACAAGGAAAATGTGGTGTATGGCTTTCCTGTATGATAGTGGCCCTGGATCATAATACCTGCTGAATAAACTTCTAAATCCTTTGGAAGTCCCGCACATCACGGGACTGAGCTCTGCAGTCACTTTTGCAGCGGTTTTCTTATAACGGGTCACAATCCTGCACAATGTCCTTTTTTCGGTTAGTTGATTATATCGACCGTGCCTATGCTTATTAGACCACATTTTACTGGAAACTGGATATGCTGTCATCATTTTGATACTGTACCCCAGGACACGGCAAACAAATTGGCAGCTTCAGTCACAGAGGCACCAGATAAGTGGCACACAACAATTTTCCCTCTTGGAAGTTCTGTTAGCGTTGATATGACTCCGTATTACTAGCAGTGCATGCAGTGAAATGAAGAAAGTGAGGCTTCCCACATGTTATCTAGGTGTCTCATCACGCAGCAGAAGCAAAAGAATGTTACGTCACTTCCAATTTTAACGTGAAACATGTGGTCACTTTGACACCTGCAAATCATGTAGTGTTTCCATTTTTGTTGTCCAACTATGTGTGTCAATATATGTGTATGTGTTATATGTATGTATGTTTGTGTGTGTATGTAAGTGTGTGTGTATACAGTGAAGGAAATAAGTATTTGATCCCCTGCTAATTTTGAATGTTTGCCCACTCACAAAGAAATGATCAGTCTAAAAATCGAATGGTAGGTGTATTGTAACACCGAGAGACAGAATAGCAACAAAAAATTCAGCATAAATGCATGTCTAACAAATGATGCACTGATTTGCCTGTTCATGAGGGAAATAAGTATTTGATCCCCTTCACAAAACATGACTTAGTACTTGGTGGCAAATCCCTTGTTGGCAATCACAGAGGTCAGACGTTTCCTGTAGTTGGTCACCAGGTTCGCACACATCTCAGGAGGGATTTTGGCCCACTCCTCTCTGCAGATCCTCTCCAAGTCATTAAGGTTTGGTGGCTGATGTTTGACAACTCGAACTTTCAGCTCCCTCCACAGATTTTCAATCAGATTAAGGTCTGGAGACTGGCTAGGCCATTCCAGGACCTTAATGTGCTTCTTCTTCCTTTGTTGCCTTGGCCGTGTGTTTTGGGTCATTGTCATGCTGGAACACCCATCCATGACCCATTTTCAATGCCCTGGCTGAGGGAAGAAGGTTCTCGCCAAAATGTGACGGTACATTGCCCCATCACACTTCTCTCCACCAAGGATAAAAATTATAGAGTGGTTGGACTCAGAACTCCCAGATGAAATTGTAATTAGCGGAGGATATTTAGCAGAGTCCTGGCAAGATGACTGTGTGCATCATGACCACATGTCAATGAAAAGCAAAGGCTATCGCCAAGTAGGCTGTGTCCTCTTGTATTTCACATGGTCATTTTACTGGGGTATGCCTTTTTACTTGGGTCATTGCTTTTTCTTCCTCTATTATTTGGGTTCACATCTGAATAAGGCAGTATTTCAAACATCTCAGGTGATAAATCAATACATAAATAATAAAATAGTTGTGTCATACGTGAATTCCCTCACGGGGAATATTTAGTGAAAAAAGTGACAAACACACTCCTATTTGCACATTGTGAAACTGTATACTGGTGCACAAAAATAGTGAACAAATAATCAATTCAAAAAGTCCAAAATGATATAATAATAGTAATACGATAATTTGTGATGATCCTCACACTTCACTCTTCATGCAAGAATATATAATGTGCCGTATACGTCGTACACACGTGCCAATCCTTTACGAGCCAAAATACCCCCTCACCTCCTTCATTAGACCCCACAGGGTCAACAGGCTTTGAGGATCAAGTGATCCTATCAGAATGGGTCCCTCTTGGGCCTTCCCCTCACTTCTCCAGCCTCCAACAGACTAACAGCCAGCTCCTCACAGGATCATGATAAGACACAGAGACCCTCCATAGTGCAACCGGTTTTTATTGCATCAAATTTAACACAACAATAAGTATTACACTCACATTTGCCCACGAGTTTTCCAGCTTTTTACCACATGCTATCGGTGTACTCAACAGGGTGATCCAATATGGCCCCCACGCCGGAAATTATGTCACCGGAAGCTCCTCCCCACGTACCGACGCGTTGCGCCACGCCCACCTCGTGACTTCATCATATTTATGTATTGATTTATCACCTTGGATATATATATGTAGGGGACGTATATAGAGTTTGTGCATTTTAACACATAATTTGTTAGTATTATTAGCGCTACACTATTTATTTTAATTTATATATACATATAAAATGCAGCGCTGTAAAATGATCAAATCATGCAAATCAACACAATAATAGTCCTGAAAAGGTGCTCATTAATTCCGAGTGTCAATGGAAAGAATGCAAACTAACCAGAAGCGCATTTAAAGTACGCATGTGTGTAAGAAATCCTGGAGATTCTCCTCTCTCCCTCTGGTCAAAAAATGGATATGTGCTGAAATGGACGATAACGCCCTCTTGTGGAAAAGCGAAATCCTGCAGGCCAGGAAGCTCCCAGGATAGGATATTCCTCTTCAATGGAACCAGGGCTGAGGGTCCTTGCTCTACCTCAGAAGAAGTGCGTCCATTTCAGCACATATCCATTTTTTGACCAGAGGGAGAGAGGGGAATCTCCAGGATTTCTTACACACATGCGTACTTTAAATGCGCTTCTGGTTAGTTTGCATTCTTTCCATTGACACTGGGAATTAATGAGCACCTTTTCAGGACTATTATTGTGTTGATTTGCATGATTTGATCATTTTACAGCGCTGCATTTTATATGTATATGTTTTATTGAGGATTTTTATATGCAATTATCCTGGATGTTCAGCTGCTGTTTCTTTGAGAGCGCTCACTGTGTGTCTTTTACCTATACAATTTATTTTAATTGATCATTCACTTACTTGGGTATAAGTTTGGTGTCGGCAGCTATTGAAGGATAGGATTCCATTTAAGCGCAGGAGGTTGTTTTTGTAATTTTTGTATTTCAAACATCTCACAGTCTCGGTCTACGTAAGCCCCCCTTTCTCCCAAAGTCCCAGCTTTTGTTTTACAGATAGGATGTCATATGTTTCAGCAGTTGTCCCTCTGATAAATACCTGCAGATAAAGGACAGAACAGCATTCCTTCTGAAGCCAGGCAGGGTTTCCAATACAAATGTGTTGCATTGTGACAGATTTTTATTTGCCTTCAGGCCCAAAGATGTGGTGAAGGAGGAGAGCGCAATGCGAGCGAAGAGAGCACTGGAGGAGGAAGATGATGGGAACACGGAGCCGATTTCGAAGAACAAGCAAAAAAAAAAAAAACTGCGCAATCCAAACAAAAGCTTCGACCCTTCTGTAAAGCGTAAGTCATACCAAGGGATACTGCTACCCCCTGCTTTTCATAGTTGTTAAAATCGCACCCAGTGAGGCGGGCGTAGTTGTACAGTGTTACTGCCCCGGGACTCTTAGATTTTCACACAAGTATTTCCTTTCCTAGGGCAACTGTCAGCAAATAAAACAAGTCATTGTTATCCTGTGCAGAAGAGAGGGGATTTATTTAAAGAGCAGAGGGTACTCAAGCAAGTACCAAAAGCTGCCTTTACACATGTGCTTTAGGCTTCATTCACATGTGTGTACTTAAGTATAAGCATGTGCTTATAGCACACAAACATTTATTATACTGCATCTTATCAATTTGTAAATGTGATGGATGCGTTTGTTTTCTTTTTTTTTTAGGCTTCCTTTCTTTTATTTTTACCTAGTAATGCTGCCAGCAAGTCTGTGTTTTTTTTTTTTTTTTTTTTTTTTTTTCAACAGAACAAGCTGTCCTGCAGATGGAATAGTTAGGGGGCTGAGACAAACCATTTTCCACTGTTATGGGTGCCTACAATGGACAGCTCTTTATTTATGCAAAACCTTTATCCCAAAAGGAAAAAATTGTTTTAACTGCTTATAAAGTGTGAGCTGGCGTTTGGCTTTAATCACTTCAAGTCCGGACACTTTCACCCCCTTCCAGTCCGGACACTTTCACCCCCTTCCTGTCCAGGCCAATTTTCAGCTTTCAGCGCTATCACACTTTGAATGACAATTGCACGGTCATGCAACACTGTACCCATATGAATTTTGGAGACAGATAAAACTTTATTTTGGTGCTATTTATTCACCACTGGGATTTTTATTTTTTTTTGCTATATAAATGAAAAGTCCAAATATTTTGAAAAAAAGTGTTTTTCATATAAAATTTTGCAAATAAATAATCTTCATAAATCTTGGCTAAAATGTATTCAGTTATCTTTTTAGTAAAAAAAAAATAACCCAAATTAATTTATAACCAAAAATTTATAATTTTTCAAAAAATATATATTTTTATTTTTTATATTACTATTTATTTTTTTTTTAATATACTGTCACCCAAGCAGTGCAGTGTACTACTTGTGGGGGGTGATGAAGATTTTGTTCTCCTAACACTGATTGCTTTTATACCCATTAAGGCTGTAAAAGCAATCATTTCTCTTTCTCTCTGTTTGCATTCTTGCAGCCATTGAAAAATACTGTGAGAGCTGTGATTGGTCACAGCTTGTCACATGGTGCAAGACTGTTGTGAATAGCCTTGTACCGTGTGACCTCTGTGATCATTCACAGATTTCACTAGTAGTAAGCAATGACATCAGGAAGTGACATCTTGCTTTCTGCTATTCATGTGATCACTGATTGGCCAATCAGTGATCATATGATCGGGACCTCGCACAGAGGTCCCGTACAGCGATCGGTGTTCCCAGGGAGCGTGCACAGGCTGTAAGTGCGGGCACCGTTTATAAACAGCATCCCGCTCCTGCACTGCTGCCGTCCGGCCGTTTATGTACATGGGCCGGATGGGAAGTGGTCAATTTGTTAATGTTTTTAAATCTGCTAGCACAGCTAACAGTGGCTAAATGGTTAGCACTTCCGCCTGGCAGTACTGAGGGTCATTGGTTCGAATCCCAACCATGGCACCACCTGCCTGGAGTTTGCATGTTCTCCCTGTGCCTGTGTGGGTTTCCTCCGGGTAGTCCGGTTTCCTCCCACACTCCAGAGACATGCTGGTAGGTTAATTGGATCCTGTCTAAATTGGCCCTAGTATGTGTATGTATGAATGTAAGTTAGTGACCTTAGAATGTGCACCTCTTGAGGGTTAGGGGATGATATAAGTACCTGAAATAAATAATAAAATAAACAATCCCCTCCCTCCAGACTTACTGCTGCCAGGGGCGGACTGACCATTTAGAAACTCTGGCACTGCCCGAGGGCCCGGGGTCAGTAGGGGGCCCAATGAGATGCCCCTGGTACCTTTTTTCATAGGCTTTTTTGAGTTTGGGCAAGGACACAGGGGCCCCCATGATCCCCTATTGCCCGGGGCCCCATGATCCCCTATTGCCCGGGGGCCCTATGAGTTGTCAGTCCGCCCCTGACTGCTGCTGTCCAAATGTGCCTCTTTTGCTCCTTCATCCAGAATGTAGGCACTCTAATACAGGGGGGGTGTTACTGGCCAGATCACCAGGTGAAAATAGAGGGGGGAAATCAGAAACTAATACAGTCACTACATCTAGTGATTGGTCAGATGCAACATATATTACAGTGTTGGGTTCAATACTGATTTAAGTAGGCCCGTGTGAACGGAGCCGTAATGAGGCTAACATCAAGTCTGTGCCTGACTAAATTGTGACGAGCATCCAGTAATGGGACTTTGATGACTGAATCAAACACACTTGTTGAGTGGCTTTTGCCCTTTAAATTAACCCTCCGTTCTTCACCATGGACTTGTTTCATTTGTTGGAAATTGTCTCTGGCAGGGCTTTTGGTCCAGGTAAGTGTATGGTGGGGTGGGGGATTTAGCTGGATTTCCTGCCAGGGACAGCAACAGCAATTTCATTTCTTTAGAACAAGCTGATAAAATGGAAAGTGTCCCTGCACATTCTATCAAATGTAAAGAAGATTACTTGTGCCTCACCTTCCCCGCTGATCTCCTTTGTATTGATAAGAAACTGCAGCTTGATGAAACTTCAGAATCTGACACTTAGTAGTGTATTTCAGGTCCCCTACGGAGGTTAGTGGTCAGATCTGCCATCCCCTGATTCCCCACAGACTGTGATAGTGTTGTTGTGTTACTCACTATTTGGTCCAGGTAGTCCATATATTGATGAGGTCTGGTTGTATAGCCAGCTATGCTGGGAAGAGCCAGTACTTCAGAAACTTCCAAAGTCATACTCCCCCTTTTGCTCTCAGGGCAAAACAAAACACAATGGACTGCAAAATATACCACCACCCATCTGCTATAATTAACAAACCTGTTCTGTGTAAGATTTCATTGAGGATTTATTTCCATATTAGCTGATCTCGCTGCAAAATAATGTGTTTTTCTGCTTTTCCAGCTAAATATGCAAAATGTGACCAGTGTGGAAATCCCAAGGTGCGTCTAGAATCTTACATTTACCTCTACACACAGTCCTTTTCCTCCCTTCCTTCTCCCTATCCCTCCTCTTTTTTTTTTTCTGCTTTTCTTCCTTATTCCTATCAGGTTCCTCTTATTCTTATCACTCTTGTCTCTTCGAGAAGTCTAGGATCTTATTTTATATCCAAATCATACTTACCTAGGTGGATGCACCGATGCTGCATCTGTCCCCTGCCAGCTGTAAGTGTGAGAACTCAGCAATCACGTGATCACTGAGTTCTCACTGCCACTGTGAGCAGAGAGCGGTGACTGGCAGTTACTGCTATGTGCCCTGCTCCACCCCGCCTCGCACGGTCACAGGAGCGCTGGGCTGTGGAGGGAGCCGCTGAATCTGGCTCTCACCAGATCGCTGAGAGGCTAAACCAGATGCTGTTCCAGACTCTGGGGTGGATCCTGACTTTAAAGTCGGGATCTTTCCCCAGCTTGAACCAGCTGAGTGACTTCAGCCTGCTCTCAGCTGCAAATGGGTCACAGGCGTGCAGAATGAACGGCACTCCTGTGATTCACAGAAGTACAGCCAAAAGAACTGTACTTCTCCTTTAAAGTAGTATTAAACCCTCATTGCCTTTTTTTTTCCCTCCAATTTTGCACTTTAAGAGGATCTTCAGTAATTTATGAAATAATTAAAAGTCAGCTACAAATACTGTATCCGTTGACTTTTAATGGAGAGACACTTACCTGTCCAGGGATCCAGCAGTGTCCTCACCAGGGCCAGTTCTTTGCCAGTCTTTGGGTCCTTGGTGCTGCCACGGGGGAAGGGAAGAACTTCTGCTTGGATCACCTATGCGGCGGGAGCGGGTACCTGACAAAACTAGGTACCTGCTGCGCTACAAAACAAAAGTTGTTTCAACAGTGGAACGGGGGGGGGGGACTTTTCAGCCTTAAAGTCTTTTTAATGCAGTTTCACAATAAAGAATTTTTCCAATGTCACCAAATACTGACATTTTTCAATCTTCAGTAGCCAATTGCTCTACTGTATATCTCTCAGTGGTGCTGCCCCAAACTTATAATCGTGAAGCATACTGTCTATCAGAATATTATTATTATTATTATACAGGATTTGTATATTATTATTATTATATACAGGATTTATATATTATTATACAGGATTTATATATTATTATTATTATTATTATTATACAGGATTTATATATTATTATTATACAGGATTTATATATTATTATTATTATTATACAGGATTTATATATTATTATTATACAGGATTTATATATTATTATTATTATACAGGATTTATATATTATTATTATACAGGATTTATATATTATTATTATTATTATTATACAGGATTTATATATTATTATTATACAGGATTTATATAGCGCCAACAGTTTGCTCAGCGCTTTACAATATAATGGGAGACAATACAGCAACAATACAGTTCAATACAAGAGGATTAGGAGGGCCCTGATCCTGGGAGCTTACAATCTAAGAGGTTCTTGCGTATCAGGATTTCCTCTCCTATCATGCCATGTACACAAAATGCATGTGTGCCCCATCTGCTTCTGAGCCTTGAGCTTCATGTTTGTGTCAAGGAACAGTGTTGGCATGTAGGAATGCAATACATAAGGGTGGCTATGCTGGGGCTTAAGGTTTAACCCCTTGACGCCGGTGCCTCCCGGCCCTTTAAGGGTTTCAGAAGCCGGGAGGCAGGGCGGGGTTTAGGGTCATGTGACCGCTGTGACACGTCATCACGGCGGTCACATGATCGGGAAAGGTCCCGATCGAAAGAGGAGATTGGGACCTTTCCGTGAGTACCGGACACGTGTGCTGGGAGCACGCATGATGCGTGCTCTCAGCACATATGGTTTTTCTTTAATAGAACGCAAATGTGCGGCCGCTCAGCGTCTAGGCCCAGATGCCGGGAGGCTGCACATTTGCGCTCGCCCAGCGTCAAGAGGTTAAGGCAGTTTAGCCACCCTAATGGAGGCATTGGGTTTAAAGAAATGATAGCCTGCAATGAAAAAGCGACCTGGAAGTAACATAGCAGATGAGATGGGTTACAACATTTCTTGTTGCAGGAAGAAGGCTTAATAATACTTTTACCATTTCTCGCCGGCCTCTCGGTGGGTGAGCTCCAGGGTGGATTGATTTAAATCACTAGTCAGTAAGGCTTGATGTAAATCCTAGTTTTCTACATAAAGACTAATCCTTGCTGGTATAACTTTAATATGCAAGTAGATGAAGATTTTTAGAATAACAACTTTTCATATTAGTTTTTTTATCCCCAGTTTAATAGGTTAATCATTCATATTTGGACAACTTTTCTGTTGTACTTAGGAAGGAGAAAAATAATCATTACCTTAATAATAACAATTTAAATAGATTTTTATTCATCTGAAACAATAACATTCCAGCATATGTGATTGGCTTAAACATCCATGTTTGGTAACTAATTTGGCTAAACAAAATATATATATTTTAAGAAACTTAGACTGTCAGCCCCTTCCCCCTCACACTTCGTTTCACTTTCTTCTTGTGCAGATCTATTCCACTCCAAACAATCAGAAAAATATTGTTTCTATTCTATTCACTGAACTTCTTGAAACTTAGCAGTGAAGGGGTTGATTCTGTATTCATAGGTTTGTAGAAGTTAGGATGAAGGTCTTTTTCTTAACTCTGTTCATGTTATAACATTTTGCTGTGAAGAAGAGGCATGTGATCTCCGCTGAGTCAAATTCAGTTTTGAGAACTGCAAAAGTAAACCAACATCTGTGATAATATCTTGTAGGGAGAGAAACTGCCCAATAATCTTACAAAAACCTCTGGAAGAGCATGACATTGTGAATGGATTCATGGAATTTATTTACCAAAAAAATTAAACATATACAGCCTTATTCTACATAATTAAAAAACTAATCTTTATTTCATGATGGAATAACCTTTGGATGGTAATATATTTTCCTCAAAAAGCATTTTATTCAAAAAAAATCCGATTTAAATAAAAAAAAATCCGATTTATTTTTATTTATTTTTTTTAAATCATTGATTTTTATCCACCCTGGTGAGCTCTAACACCAAGCAGCCCACATATATGCGTGTACAGGTAAACCGTTTACTGTGCTGAAAGCGCACTCGGTGTGCACTCCCAGCGCAGTAACTGGATTGTTACTGGAATGCTCCCGATACATACTTGCTATCAGGAGTTTTTGATCGTGCGACCGCTCTGACAACCAATTACAGTGGTCACATGGTCAGAATGGTCGCCTCCAACTCCCAGCATTTCAATCCTCTTGAAGGGCCAGGAGGCGGTGGTGGTGGGAAGGGTTAATTTTACTATCTGTGCATGATATGAAAATTAGTTGTCACATATTGAGACTGGAGCAACCATTCCCCGATTTCCTGTCTTGCAGGGCACTAAGTGTGTGTTCCATTTGTGTCGCAGCTGCTGCAAGAAGAAAGCATTCAGGGAGATGGCAGACTGTGCAGGTGGGTGTGAGTCTTCTTTGGGAAGAGCGCCATTTCTATCCGCAGCCCTAGCACTAAAAACCTTTCCTTTTACTTTTCAGGTCACGGACTGCTTTTTAAAACCAAATTTGAAAGGTCTGCTCAGTGTAAAGCTGTGCAGGAGACAGACGTGCCAGAGAACCTAACTGAATCAAAGCTCCCCCAGCCACCCCCTGAGATCAAAGTCTGAGCCTTTACCCCTTGTGGAGTCTGGGACTGCTTATTACAGCCCTTCACGGGCTCTCTTCCTACTGCTTGCTCAGGGAATTGTTCCGAGTCTACTCTGGCGTGTCTGGGATCGTCGGCGCCCCGCTTTGCTAGGGCACGGTACAAACTTTTTGCACTTCGGACTTCACATTTCTACTGTTTTTAAGCTTTAAAGTATATTTTGACTGGACTGGGAAATGTTCCGATTTTTGCCTTTTAAAAAAAAAAAAAAAAAAAAGTATGCTGCTACCAGATTTCTAGCTGCTGCTTAAGCGTCAGCTGGGGACAGCGCGATGATGTAACTGGATTCGGAGGAAGTAGTTTTAGACTTTTAAAGGCTTTAGAAAGAAAGACAATAAAGACAAATCTTATGAATTTAATGGCGTCTTGTGGCTGAATCTGTTGCTGTAATAGTCTTTAACCACTTCAAGTCTGGACACTTCTCCCCCTTCCAGTTCAGGCCAATTTTCAGCACTGTCACACATTGAGTGACAATTACTCAGTCATGCAACACTGTACCCTTATGAAATTTTTAGCATTTTTTGGAGACCGATAGAGCTTTCTTTTGGTTGATCACCACTGGGTTTTTATTTTTTACTGTATTAACCACTTCAAGTCCGGACACTTTCACCCCCTTCCTGCCCAGGCCAATTTTCAGCTTTCATCGCTGTCACACTTTGAATGACAATTGCGCGGTCATGCAACGCTGTACCCATATGAATTTTTTAGCATTTTTTGAGACAGATAAAACTTTATTTTGGTGGTATTTATTCACCACTGCGATTTTTATTTTTTTTTGCTATATAAAATGAAAGTCCAAAAATTTTGAAAAAAAGTGTTTTTCTTATAAAATTTTGCAAATAATCTTTCTTCATAAATCCTGGCCAAAATCTATTCAGTTATCTTTTTAGTAAAAATAAAGTAACCCAAATTAGTTTATAACCAAAAATTATAATTTTTAAAAAACATTTTTTACATTTTTATTTTATTTTTTTTTATATTTATTTATTTTTAACATACTGTCACCCTAGCAGTACAGTGTCACCATGGTGACACTGTACTACTTGGGGGTGATGAAGATTTTTTTTTTTTTTTTTTTACACTGATTGCTTTTACATCCATAAAGGCTGTAAAAGCAATAATTTCTCCTTCACTCTGGCTGTATTCTTGCAGCCATTGAGAAATACTGTGCGAGCTGTGATTGGTCACAGCTTGTCACATGGTACAAGGCTGTTGTGAATAGCCTTGTACCATGTGACCTCTCCGATCATTCACAGATTTCACTAGTAGTATGCAATGATGTCAGAAGTGACATCTTGCTTACTACTATTCATGTGATCACTGATTGGCCAATCAGTGATCACATGATCAGGACCTCACACAGAGGTCCCGGACAGCGATCAGTGTTCTGGACACAGCGGGCACCGGAACGCGGTGCAGCGCGCTCCCAGGGAGCGTGCACAGTCCAAAATGGCGGGCGCCGTTTATGAACAGCAATCCGCTTCTGCACTGCCCCCATCTGGCCGTTTATATACATGGGTCGGACAGGAAGTAGTTAATGAAAAAATACCGAAGAAAAAAAAATTTTTTTTTTGCTTAGTTTTTGTTATAAAGTTTTGCAAATAAGTAATTCATAAATTTAGGCCAAAATATATTCTGCTACTTTTGTGGGTGAAAATAACCCAAAACAGTGTATTATTTTGTTTATGTGAAAGTTATAGAATCTACAGACTATGGGGTATATATTTGAAAATTGATCAGTTTGAGACCCTAAAATGCCACATCCTGGTATGGTAGTGGTCAGGACATTGGCACGAGCAATTGGACACAGCAATCACATAAGAAAATAAAAAAGCAACCGAATGCCTGAGCTCCTGCGCTGGACAATGGACCCCACAATGTCAGTTTCCCCACATGTGTAAGAAAGGAATGCAAGTTTTGCTGCCCTCAACGGGAAATCCAAAAAGAACTGTATATGAAGAGACAAAAAGCGGGCGCACGGGCCTAGTGCAGTACCTTTAAAAATGAAATTTATTAATAAAAAGTAAAATACTCAGAGAAATAAAATCAAATGTAAAGCATGTCACTAGAGATGCGGTGTGGTCCAATACCCCTGAAGGTTGTCTGGTGGGGGACTGTAGACCTCAGGATAGCTGATATTCGACGCGCTTCGAACACCATGTGATCACCCGGACGCAGTGGGTAAATATAACAAATGTATCACAAACACTGTAGCTCCTCTAACGCGTTTCGTGCAATGGCACGTAGTCACAGGGGATTCGCCTACCCCCTACCCAACCCTGACAAGACCAGACCAATAAGGGATTTCCAGTGTTCGGAGATTATAATCTCTAAATGCGCATTGTGATTGCGTATCTGGTGAGTGCGCAATCCACTCACCTTATACCACATCACCATAATATTCGGTCAGGTCCCTGGATTTCGATGATCATCAAGATCTCCCATGCACCTTAATTGTGGACTTTCATTGGGGTTGCTGTGTCTGGCATTTTTCACTTTACTGGTCACCATTCAGTGACTTGTTTATTAGCACTTTGTCACGGATTAGTTATGCTCATATATGACTTGTCTTATTTTGCACATTTATTTAGTATTATGTTACTGACACGTTTACACATTGTGTCATCACTCATATGGGTTTTTGTCATTTGATTTTAGCACTTGCTTTTTATTCTCTTATGCGGATTTTTTAGCGCTACACCCCACTTTTTATGATTTTATCTGAAGGTTTTATATGGTACCTTTTGGTGTTTAGCTGCTTTTTCTGGTTTTAAGCGCTCGCTTGCTTTATTTGATTATGACCAAAATTTTTTTTTTTTTTTTAAGCTTTTGAAGGGGAACTTTTTTTTTTTTTTTTAAATTAACACTGGCTCTTGCTGAGATTATTATACCCACCTCCACATGAATTCTGCTTTAAACTGTTATAAGTCAGCAGTGCACGGTTTAGCGAAGAGGAAACCTTAGACAAGCATCTAATCAACTGCAGATATAGATAATGGCATCTCAACACTCGACTTCTACTATTCACAGCCCGAGAGTTTATTATACTTCGAATTACAGAGCAATTACATGCTTGGGAAAGGAACAGCTGTACAAAATGGGCACGTCGGGTGTCTAGAAGACAATGAACGCTTACTGCCAATACACATGTAAACTACCTAAGGAGAATATGGGTGTATTTGGTAATAGGTGGCTGCACAAGGTCGTCCTTGACAGTTCCCACCTCTGTTGATGTTGTTGAGTAAGGCCTTATTTAAAAGCAATGTGTACGGCAAGCCTTTATATAGCATTTAGAATCTTTTAAGCAGCTGTTCTGAAACGTTTCATCTTCCGTTATGGGAAGTTAGAGATCCCAGACAATCATAAGACTGGAAGTTGTGCTCAATAAAAAAAAGTAAGGTAGGGGGCAAAGGACCAGTCACAGGTATTCTCGGTGGTCTCCCTACAGCTGACCTTACCATTGCCTTGGTCTGTATTGTGTTGCTCTGTGGAGGTAGCCATCTTGGTAGAGGCGAGGCTTTGCTTTTTGCTATTAGAGCTTTTAGTAGGAACAAGAGTGAAGAGCACAGTAGTGACACCGCTGAATCTCACTCAAAGTCTCCTGAAACTAGATGTCAGCGGAAACCTGCTGCTTAGGCCCCATGTACACGGACACTTCTGAACGATGGAAACTGACTGGAAAACGTAGGTTAAAAAACATCTGTTTAGCCACATTTGCATAATGCGTTTATGTGCGTTTGTGTTTAGAAGCGCTTTGTAAAGATAAGCACAGGAGAACCTCCCAAATGCCCAGAATGCACTGAAAAGTGGTAAATCATTAACTATTTCAGACATTTTGAGAGAAATAGAGAGAGTAGAAGCAGAGACAGCAGTATGTGTTGAGATTAGTTTAGGTGTGAGTTGCTCAGTAACATTTCTTTTGTTTCCAAGGGTGGGAAAGGTGTCTGGTGGAGGGAGTCATTTAAGGTCACCTGGCAGGGGATCTTCCTGAGGAATTTGAGGTGGGAATGGTCATTAACATATCTTTTGTTTCCAAGGGTGGAAGAGGTCTGAGGTGTGAATTGGTCATTACAATGTATGACAAGCTTGGTAGGAACATCCTGTGTTCAGTGTTTTGTCCATCTGAGTACCTTGAAAACACTTTGCATTTATTTTTCATGATGAAAAAAGGCTCTGGACATCATCAGGAACTGGAAGAGTTAAAAAAAAAAAAATTTCAACCGCAAACGCTTAAAAGCGTGTTTTGAAAGCTGATAAAATCAACTGCTGTACGCAAGTTTTCTGCGTTCAAAAAAACGACTGTAAACCCAACTGCCTGTAAATGACGAGGTGAACACAGACACATAGGAAAACATTAGGGAGAGTTCAGGGGCTGCTGGAAAGAATGCCGAACAGTTCCTAAACGTGAGTTTATCAGCTGCAGTGTACATGAGCCACTCAACCACTCATTACAACCAAGGTATGCAGAATACAATCTTTGAGCACATAACACGTTAAACCTTGAAGCAGATGGGCTACAGCAGCAGAAGACCACCCCAGGTGTCACTCCTGTCAGCTAAGAACAGGAAAGAGGCTGGAATTTGCACAGGCTCATCAAAATTGGACAATAGAAGATTGGAAAAACGTTGCCTGGTCTGATGAATCTCGATTTCAGATGGTAGGGTCAGAATTTGGCAGAAACAACATCAGAGCACGGATCCATCCTGCCTTGTATCAACGGTTCATGGATGTGCAGCCGACAAATCTGCAGCAGCTGCGTGATGCTATCATGTCAGTATGGACCAAAATCTCTGAGGAATGTTTTCAACACCTTGTTGAATCTACGCTACGAAGAATTAGGGCAGTTCGGAGGGCAAACTGGGTCCGACCCAGGGGCGGGTTGACAACTCATGGGGCCCCCGGGCAATAAGGGATCATGGGGCCCCTGTGTCCTTGCCCAAACTCAAAAAAGCCTATGAAAAA